AAATCCAATACTTTCTGGTTTGACAAATCTGTCTAATCTAACTACTTCTTTTATTTGAATTGGTGGTCTAATAGCCATTCTTTTTCTCTTTCTAATGATTTCTTAGTTCTTCAGGAATTTTCTAGATACCTAGTTTTTTCTAGAATTTCATTTTACTTCTTTTCTTTCCTTTTATTGTGTGAAGAATCATAAAAATCTGTTTCTTCTTCCTCCACTTCATATCTTCTTCTTTTTTCTTTTTTATTTAACTTTTTACTATTAAAATATAATTAATTAAAATAACAATTAAATCTATAAAAACTCTTTTTTTTTTTCTTTATTGAAAATGATTCTCTTTTTATTTTAATTTTGTTATTTCTTAATTAAAAATGTTTTTTTTTTAATTAATTTTATCTTTTTATTCTTTTTATTATTTGATATAATTTTTATTTCTTCTTAAATTATTTTCATTTCTCTTTTTTTTTTCCTTATTTAAACATACTTTTTATTTACTTACTTATTGATTTTGAAAAAAAATATTTAAAATCATAGAGTTGACTTTAATTTAAATTAAATCGATGGTGAATTTGCTGAAGGAGATGATGGAATCATTGCTATAATCTCACAATCACTCTTCACCCCTTTATTTGCACATGGCTTTACAAAATGAGTTGGGTGTTCTGAAATATATACAGTTTGATTACTATCAATATTTCTATCAATCCAACAATTAGCCCCAATACGAACATGACTTCCAACAATAATATTTCCTAATACCTTTGCTCCTGTTCCTATAGTCACATAATCTCCAACTGTTGGATGTCGTTTTGTTCCTCGGTTAATCACTCCACCTTCTTCTTGGAAATGCATTGCTCCTAAAGTAACTGATTGATAAATTCTACACCACTCTCCAAGAATGGCAGTTTCTCCAATTACAACTCCAACTCCATGGTCTATAAAGAAATGTCCTTTGATACTTGCTCCTGGATGAATATCAATTGATGTGTATGAATGAACATTTTCCATCAATCTCTACAA